GTACAGGCTCCAGAGGCTCTCCAGCATTTTTCCCTGAATATCACAAGCCCCTGTGGCCTACAGCTACAGCATCTGAAACAAGCGCAAAGCTGCTTACGCTTGCAACACATGCCCTCACATCTCAGTCTTCCTTTCTCCTGTCACTTCTAATCCTTTTCCTTTTCAGTGGCCTCCAGCTTTTATAGCACACACTAGCATGAGGCTGCCTCTGCAAGCTGTGCAGGCTGTACAGGCACTACAGGATGTCACAAACCCCACTCCCTTCCCGTGGCCTACAGCAGCTGAAGGAAGCGTGAGACTGCCTACGCTTGCAACTCAGGCCCACACATCTCAGGCTTTTCCTCCCGTTTCTAATGACCCCTTTTTTCTTTTTAGTGGCCTCCAGCTCCCATAGCAAAACTCCTATCCTTCCCCCTCCTTTCTACCTCCGGCGGCAGAAGTTAGCGTGAGGCTGCCTCCGCTAGCCATTCAAGCTCAGCCACCTTACTCTTACCCTTCCGCTACTCCTTTTTCCTATCAATGGCCAGCAGCCCCTGCTGCAGACGTCCAAGCAGGGCAGCATCAGCCAGCAACGCAAGCTTACTGGCCTCCTCCCTCATTTCCTTCTACCTCTTCCTACGTGCTTCCCTAAGCACCAGAGGCTAATCCGTGCATGAGGCTGCCTCCGCAAAAGATTACGGCCCCTCCTTATTTTTCCTTCTAACTTTTCTCTCCAATCTAAACCTCAGTACACTTCATTCACAGCAGTCCCACCACTTACCCCACCGAATGTTGCAGCTCAGGAACCACCCCCCGTGCCTTATACCATCAAGTCTCAGATTCTCGCAGAAATTCAGAGCGCTGGCTCCGTAGGTGGACCCATCGCCAACCCCAGTACCTCACTGTTCGCAACTCGTATTCCCATAACGCATCCCTTAAAACCTCCTCAACGCGTCACTCGGTTCGATCCTCCAAGCAGTTTCACCCAGAACCATCCAATCTTATCTAACTGCTTGAAGATGATTTAAAGCTTTCCACCCCTCGTACAACCTGCCATTTCCCAATTTCTCCTTCCTCTCAATCACAGCTTTCGTTTCCTACCTTAACACCCGTAACAACCTCCAAGCCCGGTCAATCAAAGGTTATCTAAGCGGCATCCAATCTTTTTTTTTTTTTTTCACAAATTAATCTACGGTGCCCCCTCTCCTGAAAAAAAACAATTCTCAAACTTCTCTTTTGATCAAAGGAATTCAATGCTCTCATCCTCCAAGCCCGGATGCTAGACAGCCGATAACTTTCGACATCCTTTCTAAATGTATCCACATTCTCCGCACAGGGTACCACTCACTCCATACCGCTCGTAGACTCGACGCTATGTTCATACTGGCTTTTTGTGGTTTCCTGAGATGCTTGGAATTCACAATAACTTCTATTCAACCCCAAACTCCATCCAACCGTCTCCAACCTTTCCGTGCTTGACAGCGAAACTCCTATTTCATCAAAGTAAATAAGATCAGGAAAAAGAGATCACCACGTCGGAATTGTTTAACCTCCCATCACCGATCCAACCGTATCGGGCCCTTTTTCTTGCCTACAATTCATAAGCTCTCAGTCTACATCCCCTCTTGACCCTCTTTTGTCGATGACTGTAACCACCCCGTCACACGTTTTTGGTTTCAAAAACCTCTATCCAAACGATGTTCAATATGCATCATCCAACCAGTCATACCCGTAGCAAGATTTTCCAGCCACTCCTTCCGAATCGGGGCAGTAACTACAGCAGCTCAAAAAGGTCTCATAGCAGCAGATCCAAGCTCTCGGTCGATGGTCATCGGACGCCTTCAAGAGCTATATCAGGACCAATAATTTTCACACAAAGAAAGCCCATCTAATTCTGATCAGTTAAAAGAAATTTGAGGCTGCTGCGGCAATGCCCTGCTTAATTTGATACTGTCACAGCAGTGCCCTGCTTAATTCGATGCCGCCACTGCAGTGCCCCACTTAATTTGATAGCGCCGCCGCAATGCCCCGCTTAATTCGATGCCGCCGCCGCCGCAGTGCCCCGCTTACTCATTTGATACTGCCGCTGCATTGCCCTGCTTAATTTGATACCGCCACTGCAGCGCCCGGCTTAATCTGATACGGCCGCTGCAGTGCCCTGCTCATTTGATACTGCCTTAGTGTGAACTCGTGAAATGATGTTTTATTAACAAGGTTCGGGAGGAGCACGATCAGATAATCGATCAGTCTGGCCCAGGTGGAGCTCGTCAGCTAATCACCTTAACGAGCACATACATGTGTATATATACAGCCAACTTACCTCAGTTCCACAAAAGTTTTCCAGCATCCCGCCTCCACCCCAACACCTCACTACTAATCTAGCTGACAGTGTACACAATTATGATGACCACATCATTCTTAGCCTGTCTGTACTTAAGGGCATCTCTTCAGGTTAGGTGACCGTATAGTCCTTGCTTGTTGTAATACAAAAACATTTCTAGATATTTCACTTTGTGAATGAGTAGAAAATTTTTCTTAACATAATTATCTTCGACATTATAATTTTATAGACTCACAACGCAGCAGGAAGAGTTTTTGAGGCCATGGAGCTGTCATTAGATGTGAAGCTACCTCCGCACAGCCGTATATTGCGAGGATACATGCATTTTGAAGCTTTGACAGACCATCAATACACATATTCGTGTGTAAAATGTGTCTCCAATCCAGCCATTGTTGTAATGGATCTGCATAAGAAAGGAGTGTTTAGCATGCCAGGTGAGGAAAATGTTTTAAAAATAATTTTAGATGTTACTGAAAAAGTGTATATCATAGTATATTTATCAACTTGCTTCAACTTTCTTTCACAGTAAGTGAAATCCCTGATCCATCAGATTACACTGGAATGGTGGACATGGAAGAATTTTGGACTTCAGTCTCTTCAGAAATCATTTCTGATGGACTTATGGAAACCTTCAGTAAGGCATAATTTACCTAACATGCTTTCATACAATAGGAATGTCTGCTTTTTTGCTTCAGGGATTCAGTAGCCTAATCCAGTCTTAAAATTTAATCTTTTTTAATGTTATTGTCATTTAACTGTGTGCATACTGATCAGGAAACAAAGCCATTTGTTGTACAACCTGACTATAATAAATGGTCACCCTGGATTGGGCCACAAACCAGGAAATCAAATGTGGTCTACAACACAGAGTGGGAGAAGGTACACTAAAAACTAACATCATCTGAGAAGGTCAATGTAGAAATACCCGAAGATAGACTTCTGGAACAAGTGATGGCAATGAAGGTAAAACTTCACCATCCTTTTCACATTTTTCCCCCAAAATCTATTTATTCTTAGTCTTTAAATACATATACAATTTTAATCTTGGTGTGTTTACTGTTTGACAGGTGGAAGAGGTGAAAAAATTATGCAAGTCTTGTGGCATGGACTCATCAGGGTCCAAAATGGATCTCATTCTGCAACTAGAAACAAGAAATAAAGAACCGTAGTGGCTATGACAAAGTATTTGCCAAAGTTTGGGGTGCCTCCGGTAAGTATGAGTATTGTTACTAATATTATTAATTATTACATTTATGGAGGGATGAATAGCATTGTGTGTTGCTAAAGAAATGTTATCTTCTTAGGTGGTTGGGCTACAATCATGTGTCCATGTGGAATTGTGTATAGTTTAAAGTTCAACTTGAGAGCAGAAAGTCCAAGGGACTATATGGACTTGTTAATGTCATGGCAGCACATTCCAAATATAGTAATTTATGATTTTGCCCGAGGACTGGCAACTCATGGAAATATAAGATTTCCAACAGCACTGCCCTTTTCTTCTCATGAGGGAAGATCATTCAGCCCTACTGCTGAAATCATCCAACGTGCAAAAGAAGGGAGGCTCACAGTAAGTCTTCCATGGTTAATAAAGGCCAAGGAAACTCCTGATATAAACGGGCACCCCTTAACGGGATCGTCAGAGCATTATGTGCTCTATGATAAATTGCATGAGGGAAATACGAAGGATGAGAAAGATGTACTAAGGAGGATTGAACTTGTTCCTGAACTTGCTGGCCGTAGGCCGTATCAACAGTCAAGTGGTTGAGCAGTTTTTCTCACAAATGGAAAAAAACAACTACTTTTTAAACATGATGAAGCCAAGTACTCAGATTTTCTTGATCAGAAACATAATCCATCACAGAAATTCCATCATAAACACAGCAAGGATGGATAAGATTAAGAAGAGTCTGGACGTTGCGCATGTTACATGGACAAGCAGTCATTGGTAAAGTGTAGTTATGTATTTATACCTTTGGGTGTTAAACGTCAATGTTTTGTTTTTGTGACTTTTTTTGTTTTGTTTTGTTTTGTTTTTTAATTCAGGTACTTCTAATGAAAACAACAGGTTGGGTGAGTGTTGAGAAATACCTGTATAGTTCATAAGATTACAATTTCTCTTACCAATTAGTTAACAGTCCATTTATGCACACTGTATAGAGAGTGCTTTTGCAGCAAATGTGGCAGAAGTGAACTTGAACACGTGTGGACACCAGTGTGAGGCTCTCACTCAAATAGCAAACCTCAGGCCCTGCAGAGATTCATGGACACTAAAGGGACATCTCCTTCAAGAACAACTGGTACGTTAGAAGGTTTGTTATATGTTGGTATTTCATTTTCATTTTTTAAATTTATTTGTCATTTTTAGATCAACTACGTCTTGGATGCAAGTACGACATCTCCTTCAAGAACAACTGGTACGTTAGAAGGTTTGTTATATGTTGGTATTTCATTTTCATTTTTTTAATTTATTTGTCATTTTTAGATCAACTACGTCTTGGATGCAAGTAAAACAGCCAATGAGCTGATAGTTAAGGAGGGATCAATTTGCCTTACCCGGGACAATTTGTTGTCTCTTGGTCTGCAAAGGAACATGGACTCATTTGTGGGTACCATTCTTGTGGAGTCGTTACCCTATTTGAATTTATGGAAGTAATGCTTGATCTAAAATCAATATTTTCAAACTTTTTTTTAAACCGGTAGGAGATGTATGCTTGGATGTTGTGCGTAGTATGGCACAAAATTAGGTATGATTTTGACTACTTCCAAAATGTAACAGTGTAGCCAATCAGTTACTCTGAATGAAAGTTTAAAGCTTTGTATCGTTTTTATTGTTTTGCAGGAAAAAGACATTTATTTCTACATTGCATATCCCATCAACTTGGCTCCCACCTATACACTGTGATCCTCTAATATCTCTCCCAGTAAGTTGGGCTAAGTACAACTCACATCGGACATCATTTTTTAAAATTGGCATAGCATAGATATTTTATTTTAATACTTTATGCTTTCAGTGTATTTTATCTTGACTAGTCAGTAGCTCAGTGTCTTCACTGTCATACAAGAGAAGTGGAGCATTGAACCTTACAATTTGGATGAGAACAAGTTTCAACTGCTTTACTTCCTGAGATGCTGTGTCTTAGATTTTGACCAGCTTTTACGCCTATACATAATAAAGGAGTGATACTTACATTGATTAGTTTAATAACAGTCTCAGTTTTTTTAATAAAAATAACATTGCAACATTATCTTTTTTTATATACAGGCAGATGCTTCTAAGAAAGAAGCTCTTTTTTTTTTGTCACTATGGGTTCCAGGACACTACATGCTGTGTAAGAGGTTTATACATTCCCTCCTCTCCTCTTCAGCAACCAAGTGGGGACTGCATGTCTGTCAAACTATGTTGTATTAATGTATATGTGCAATTTCACTTGAAAGGCCTATACTACGAAACATGCAATTTTTTCTAGTTTAGATTGCATATTTCCTGCATGTAGGTGATGAGGCCTCGACAGAGAGAGTTGGTCTTTCTGGACTCTATGTACCATAAGACTGCTGGAGAATTTGGAAACATGTCCTACCAAACTGTCCTAAGGTTACTTAAAGGGGTCATATGATGCTGCTAAAAATAACATTATTTGGTGTAATGAAATGTGTTTATGCGGTTTAAAGTAAAAAAAAACACATTATTTTCCACATACTGTACATTATTGAAGCCGATCCGGCGATCCACAGCGTGACGTTGATGTATTTCCTCAGCGACCAGCACAGATCAGCTCTAGGCATGACGAAGCGGATATCGTCCTCTTTTGGAAGGCCAAACAAAGTAGTTTCGCTTTCACAACGAAACACACAGCGTCTTCACAACATGGCGACAGCAACAATACTACAGTGAGAATAAAAGTTACGCCTTCTTTCTTTGCGTGAACATTTGGGCGGCGTTATGCAAATCTTCCCACATAGTGAGGTAGATATGTGGGGGCGTGTTAGAACGAGCCGTTTTAGGTAGGCGTGGCTGACTCTTAACTTTTATAAAGAATATCTCTTTGGATTTGAGACTTTAGTCTTTGCAACTTTACAGATCTTCTTTATGCACCAAGAGCTTGTAACACTCCAAAGAGAAAGGAAACATTTAAATCGCATCATATGACCCCTTTAAGGAAGACATGCATTTTGGCAGCCACGTTCCCCTGGCCAGCCCAGTTTTGTTTCATTTGGTCATGTTCTCTGGCCTGCAGTTTACAGGGAGCACTTTATGTGTGACTAGTGTATGTTTTGTTCATGCTTCAGTTTGTGTTCTAGTGTTGATTTATTTATTGAGTGTTCCAAGCATGATAAAACAAAACAGAGGACTTCATTCACCATCCTTTTTTTAAATAGGAAACTTGCACAGAATCTTGTCCCTGGAAAGTGGTCAGAAAAAACTGGAAGTGATTTAAAGGTAAACATACTGTAACTTAAATGAGTGTGTGTGTGATTACTATACTTTATCTTATATTATCACAGTGAATAAGCAACTATAAAATCATCTATTCAAACAGGGAGTTCCTGTGCAAGATTATGGGAATGACTGTGGTATCTTCATGATCATGGTGAGTTAACATTTGGAACTTAAACAAGACAAATTACAAGATTAAATTAACAAAAATGTGTAAAATCTGATATAACTGAAACTGTTAATGACAGTCCACATTCATTTTTAACACAGTTTTATGCTGTTCAGCTATACTGCATGACAACAATGTTATTGAAAATGTATATTTTATATGCAGTAAATCTGGTATATGGCAATGGAGGCTTATTTTGATTTCACTGTGGTAAGTGTTGCTTAAATTTGACGTTATACAGCCTTGCTAAAAACAAGATAACTCCTTAATCATTTCACATACCTCAAGTAGGTGTAATCTTGTAGCTACTGACATGTTGAATTGTGGTTATGTGACTAACTGAATCTGGGAGTGATTTGAGCGTTCCTCCTGTGTTTGAATTAGTTTATATGAATGGTTTCAGAGGAGAAATTATTTAAAAGAAACCGTTTTCCTATTTAGGAGGACATGCCAGATCTTAGAAGGTGGTGGTGTATAATTCTGATGGAGAACTTTCATCTAGAAGGGTACACAATTAAAAACAAATTTGAATTAAATGCATTTAATGCAACCGTTAACATAAAACTAAAAATATTTATTTTCGATAATGTGCATTTGCAGTCACGGGTGAAGATTTGCACATTGGACTGAAGACGGGAGACAAACTCTTAAGGGAACTTTCACACCAGTCTTCCGCATACCAAGGAAGAGAAAATGTCCAGACCCCACAGTAAGATTTTAAGAGGTTTATCTTTTACAGAGCTACCCTAAAAGAGACTGCTACGAAGTCATTACTGACCACATTTTTAATCATTTTCATATTTCCACAGAAGCATGACAAGCCAACCAAGAGAATCCAGACCTAAAAAACATGATGAAATGGGCATAACACAGAAATGGGTACATCTACTCTCTGTACAGATAAATGAATAGTTCCCCGTCATGTCATCATTGTGTATGAACTTTGTTGAACATACATTTTTAGAAGAAAATTATATATATTAATATTATATTATTCAAATATTCAA